CTTCACGCGAACGAAGTCGTGAAATCGTCGCGCTAACGGTGGCAAGTAGCCGCCGAAATTGTACTTGCAAGCGACCTACGCGAACGCGCAATTAAATAGAGCAAATCGAAGCCTCTAGTCCGCGAGCTACTCTCTCTAAAGGTCCCCTCAGCGAAGGGAGCGGCTTACGGAACGCCAAGGAGGAAGGGAGTGAACCATTGTATCGCCGTGGTGTATAATTCGCCCTTTTTAGTTAGTGTAATAAAGAAGCTGTTATCGGTGAAATTTGTGAAGCTTAATAACCCCTCCTGCAGTCAGAAACAATATTGTTCCATTGGGTTTAGGTCAATATGTTCATATTAGTTTCAAAAAAATCTTGAAACAAATATTAGTACATAGATATAAATCAATTACCTACTAAAATAATTATAGATATAAGTATAGATGTCGCAACGCTGAATGAATCGTTACAATTTCAGCCAATACAATACTGAATGCAAAATATAGTCAATAATAAATCTATTATAGCTGGAGTGTATAATAAGAAAATTGAAGCTATGTGATTCGCATAAATTTATGGAACAGTTTGTTAATGAAATTGTTCAAATTAATCAAAATGGTGGAATATCTATTAATGAGAGGAAAATTTCTATACGCATTAGACGTTTCATCGCAGATGCGCCAGCAAGAGCATTAATTTTAAATCACAAGGTCACATGTCTTCAAATGAATGTTCTAAATGTAAAATTGAAGGATTTCGATCATCTAATAGAATCATATTTAATGATTCACCGTTAAAAATTGATTTTGAATACAATACGTGTATGGATACAGAACATCATAATGATAAAAGTTCATTATCCGTTCTTCCAATGGGATTAGTTTCAAATGTTCCTTTTGAATATCTACATTTGGTGTTGCTCGGAGTGACTAAAAAATTAATAATTGCATGGCTTGGAGGAAAGTACGCCGTGTCAAAATTATGTGGTAAACAAATAAACGTAATTTCAGCAAGATTGCTTTTCTGTAGCACTTATTATTCACGTGAATTTTTTCGTCAATGTAGAGATATTGTAGAATATAAAAGTTTTAAAGCTACCGAATTTCGTACATTTTTAATATATACAGGATCTTCTATATTACACAACGTTATGACAAAACGTTTATGTGCATTTTTTATTGTTATCTTGTGCTATCCGCATTCTTATGTCCGATGTTTTATGTAATGAAGATATCTTATTTACAGAGAAAGCATTGCAAAAATTTGTAATTCTTATTATGTTAGTGAAAATTTGTATGAAACAGAATTTATGTCATATAATGTATACGGTTTGCTTCCTTGCCAACGATGTTAAACATTTAGGAAAATTAGATTTCCTTTTTCGCATTTGATTTTGAGAATTATATATCAGAATTTCAGAAATTTGTACGTAAATCTCATCTTCCATTGCAACAATTTGTACGAAGATTACACGAGTTAAATTTTTCCGCGCTATATTCTTCAAATCAAATAATTCTGGCAATGTAATACGTGCAGCCTGCACTCATAAGAATGGTCCTCTTTTATGTAACATTTCTTCCACACGTATTCAATTCAAATTGTTGAAAAGAGATCTTATTATATATGGAAGTAATGAATATGACAATTGTTGTTTCTTAAAAAATGGTAATATATGTATTATAGAAAATATTGTTCAAATTTCAATAATATTATTTTATTGTGAAAAAATTTAAAAAAGTATACAATTTTTATGATTATGTAATTGAATCAAAATCATTGGGAATATTTGATTGTTATAATTTATCTGAACAGTTTATTATTGTCTTATTAGATATCTATACAAAATGCTTCAGAATTTCAAAATGGTCTGAAATTATTGGTCAAGAAGATAATATTATTCAAAATATTGTAAAGCTAATTATAAAGCTGTAGAGAGGTCTTCTCAGGTACTTTGCACCCACGAGAATCGCGCTAATAGAACGACTTGCAAGAGCAACGCGACCCGGCAGAAAAGACTGTGACGGACGCGAACAGCGACAACACGTACATAAATTGTCAGGGTGTTAGGATGACTCGTAGGGACGACAGGATAATGAAACAAGACGGATATAAAGGAATAATTAACTGTGGCTTTTATTCATGTGTGTATAGCACGACGTACGAACAAAGATTCTCGAGGCGCGCTCGCCCTCCACACTCATGCCTTCTACGCCTCAAGCACTTTATAGCACCACACGGTACAACCAATCATAACACAAGACGAGATCATGTGCTGCTCTACACGAGCGCCTCTATGGCAAACCGCCTTTTACAATATATGGATAGTAACTACAATGTTTCCAGACATATCAAAGTGAATAATGTCAAATATATTTTGTTTAGATTTGAACAATAAATTGCAGTATATTAAGTATTCTATATAACAATATATTATTGTACATATACAGGGTGTCCCCGTATAAGTGGCCACCTCTTTTTATCTCGTAAACTAACAGAGATAGACCTAATAAATATAATATCAAATTAAACAGCTCTGACTAAACTTTATTGTAAGCACAGTGATCACTTAGAAATATTATCTATGTTAAAGAGCGAAAAGACATGATTAATTTCTGCACGGTAAAGTGACAATTTTAATATGATAAAAGTTGTAGCGTTCTTTTTAACGAATACAACGATGTATGATATTATTTAGTCTATCTCTATTAGTTTATGAGATAAAAAGGGGTGGCCACTTATACGGGGACACCTTGTATATATAACTTGTGGCATATACAGGGTGTCCTAGAATTTCTATTACACACGCACAACGCCTGTACTACGAGTACTTTCCGAATCGCGTAACTCCATCCCATACAATTTTTGCCAGAATAGAACAACGGCTGCGGGATAAACCCGATCTGGAAACGGACCGTTTCCGGATATAGGTTCCTATGTAAAACTTTATCTATTAAGTTCCGGTCTACAACCTCTAGAAGTGTAATATTCTGGGACACTCTGTATATACAGGGTGTAACTTAAATGACGACCACTAAGCGCTATTCCTGATAAAAAATTGAGTCAAAAAGTCTAAAGCCTTTTTTTTCTACAATTCTTAATTATGCAGTTATTTCCCTAGTTAAACTAATCCAATAGGCGCCGTTCTTTAGACGGGCGCACATCAGTGAACCGCGAACGTAGTAGTGTGCGTGAACATAGCGGCGTGACGCGCGGCGGATCGCTCACGCACACTACTACGCGCGCGACTCACTGATGTGCGCCCGTCTAAAAAACGGCGTAGATTGGATCAATTTAACTTGGGAATAACTGCATAATTAAAAATTGTAGAAAAAAATGGTTCAGGACTTTTTAACTCAATTTTTTATCAAGAATAACGCTATATGATTAGTGGTCGTTATTTAAGTTACACCCTGTATATATCCTTGTGGATACTGGATACACATATATATAATTGCGCTTTGATTAGTATCACAAACCAACTTTTTCGGGGAGATACTTGAGCTATTTTTCTCTGCACCCTCTCTCACTGAAGAAAGAAACGATTATAGGCATGGTCAATTGGGCCTTTTTATTATTGCATCCGACGTTTCATCAGCACTTGGAAAATACAATTAGAGAACTAGCACTACTAGCAATACAGGTGCGCGTTTTGCGTACGCTATTTTACATTTTTTTACTTTTTACTATTTGATATTACACTATCAATCTCTATATGTACTGTTACGTCTTCTCTGCAAGCCCGCGCTCGCGAGAAGCGAATCAAAAACTTAGAAGGAGTGAAGGAGGCTGGTAGCCCTCGTCTCTTGAGGTCGATCCCCCGGTCGTACGTCTCACCGACACGCGAAACTTTGGGCGCCAGACGTGCTTCGGGCACGTCGATCGCGACAGCACACGCAGTCACTTTTCCGTAACGCTAAATAACGACAATAATTTCCCGTGAGAATCCCGGGGATCGCGCAAGGGTCGGCTAGCTCTACCTAACGGTAGAAGAACAGGGCGGATGGCCGGAACTCTCGACGTGGCGAGGACGGGAAGGCGAGAAAATCACACGCGAACTTGGTTAACAAATAATAATCGAGTATATTTGACAAAGAAAAAAAAAAGAATAACAAGTTCATATAGTTGACGAAAGAGAGAAAATAATAACAAAAAGAAAGGTGTAAGCGCATCCGGAATAATCCGGTGTATCGGGAACCGACACGAAGTTGTGTAAGGGTTACGCGGAATTATGCGGGCGGGTTGCCATCCTGAGTCTCTACCTCGCGAACGCTACGCTTGAAATTTCGCGACCACCCGGTATTACGGCGGGCGGACCGCGATCCACGCACAGTACGCA